ATATATAGACTAGGCAATAAGAGCCTTTACATACTGTACCATGCTGCATTTAGCAGCCTGCTGTCTCAGAGCCAGGAAATGATTTTTTGTTTATTATAAAAAATAAATTAAAAAAAGTTTTAAAAATCTAGAGAAAAGCCCACAGTGATGGGTATACCACAACCACACATGATGGGTAAAATAATTGCTTCTTTAAAATCTATATGCAGCCGCAATTATGTATATAAATACAGATTGAGGAACAGCGCACAAATAAAAATACAGTTAAAATTTTATAAGGCTACTTAAGATCGCCCATCTCAACTCATATATGGGGACCACATGGTCATATTGAGTTAAGACCACTACTCTACAGTACCCCAATATTGGTGCATCCTACACTAATTCCAACATGGAATTAGTAGGAGATAGTGCTAGTGCTGAAAAAGGCTAATTTTAATAATTTTAATAATATGTTGTAAGAGAATTTTGAATATACATATATGCAAAATGAATGTGATATTGCTAAACCTGCAATATTTTAAAGAGAAAAAAATAAATTATTAGAATGTTTTTTTCTTTTTAAGACAAAAAATGCAGTGTCAATTAGAGTGATAGTGCTTTGATATATAAACTCACATTGCATATCACATATCTGCTCAGGGCCGCCGCTACCTGTTAGGCTGACTAGGCAGCCGCCTAGGGCGCCCCTTGTGAAGGGGCGCCGCCAGGAGCGCTGGCCCCCCTCATGCTGCAGCTGCCCGAGCGCTCTGTAGAGGAGATTGGCTGACAGGAGGGAAGCGCTCAGCGCTCAGCACTCCCTCACTGTAGCGTGGCCGAGCTCTGTATGGTCCGCGGGTACAGGGAGCATCTGTCTCCTATACCCGGCCGGACTAACAGGAATTACACACTGAGTGTGCACTTCCTTTTAGTCCGGCCGGGTACAGGAAACAAAAGCTCCCTGTACCCGCGGATCATACAGAGCTCGGCCACGCTACAACAGTGGTAGGGGAGGGGGGGAGAAGAAGAAATTGGTAGGGGGGGCTAGAAGAAGAAGTCTGCAGTGGGGGGAGAAGAAGAGATTGGTGCAGTGGGGGAGAAGAAGAAATTGGTAGTGGGGGGGAGAAAAGAAATTGGTAGGGAGGTGGAGAAGAAGAAACTGGTAGTGGAGGGGGGGAGTAGCCAAAGAAACTTGGTAGTGGAGGGGAGAAGAAGAAACTGGCAGTGGAGGGGAGAAGAAGAAATTGGTAGGAGGGGGAGCAGTTGGGAATCTGGTAGGTGGAGGGGGGAGAGAGAAGAAGAAACTCAGTAGGGAGGAGGGAGAAGAAGAAATCAGTGGGGAGAAGAAGGAAATCTGGTAAATAAAGAAACTGCAGTGGAGGGGAGAAGAAGAAACTGGTAGGAGGGGGAGAAACTGGTAGGGAGGGGGAGAATAAACTGGTAGGAGGAGGGAGGAAGAAGAAACTGGAGAAGGGAAGAAAGAAAACTGGTAGGGAGGGAGGAGGAAGAAGAAACTGATAGTGGGGGAGAAGAAGAAACTGGTAGGGGAGGTGGGAGAGAAGAAGAAACTAGTAGGAGAGGGGGAGAAGAAGAAACTGGTAGGAGGGGAGAATAACCTGGTAGGAGGGGAGAAGAAGAAACTGGTAAGTGGGAGAAGTCGAAATTGGTGGGGGGAGAAGCTAAAAGAAATTGACAGGGGGAGAAGAAAATTGGTAGGGAAAAGAAGAAGAAATCTCAGGGAGAAGACAAATCTGATACAGTGGGGAGAAGAAACTGACGGGGAAAGTGAAATCACAGGAGGAGATGGGACAGGGGAGGGAGTGGGGGAAATTGGAGGTGGAGGGGAGAAGAGAGTGACAAGGGGGGGAGAAGAGAGGGGGGGGAGGGGAGAAGAGAGTGACAAGGGAGGGAGAGGGGGGAGAAGAGAGTGACAAGGGAGGGGGGAGAGATTGACAGCCATCACACACACACACACACACACAATGCACCCTTTACACACAAAGACAATGCACCCCTTGCACACAGAAAAACACACAATGCATTACACACACAATGCATTACACACACAGACACACACACACAAGCAATGCAACCCTTACACACACTGCATCCCGTACATACACAGAAACACACCTTACAGCCCTTACACATACAAACACAGATTCACATAATGCATTCCTTACACACATATCAGGACATCCCCTACATACTCCACCCCCTGTGAACAAACTCATTGGTGGAACATGAAGGTGGACCCTGGGACCCAGACCTTGAGCTGTGTAAAGGGCCCCCAAAAATGGAGCTGCTTCCCGTTCTCCCAGAACATTGATTTTTGTGACCACAGTTACAAACAGCCTCCAGACAGCCTGTTCTACACCAGACCAGTGGAGCCAGACTGCAGCTAGAGCCCATCATCATCCTCATCTGGTTGTAAGTAGGCAATCTAGTATTTTATTCGTGGCACTAATCTCTAATTTACCTCACATTAAAGAAACACTATAGTTCCCAGAACCACTGCAGCTTAATGTAGTGGTTCTGGTGTCTATAACCTGTCCCTGCAGGCCTTTTAATGTAAACACAGCGGCACTGCAGCACTGGCGTTAGTTAACATGGCAGATCATATGGGTGAGGCATTGTGCAAAAATCCTTGCACCGGCCCTGTATATGCTATATGAAAATTATAATTAAAGAGCCATTACTGTCCAATGCCCCTTCAAATCTATACTTTTCCGTGGTCACCTCCAAAGGGGCCTCTGAAACTGGTGGCTGAGAGGGGTGCTCATTCCAAAAGGAATTGTGGGAGCACCCAGAGCATGCATTTTTGTATATAATCTTAATTTTCAGATAATATATGCCTCAAAGACATGTAAAGGATTTTTAAAATAAATATGAAGGTATCTTTAAAAATAAATACATGTAAAAAAATGTATATTCGTAATAAAAAAAATTTTTTATTACCACAATATAAACAACTTTATTAAACAGATTCAAGTACAAGTATTTATGGTAAGAACTACACAGAACCCATTTACAACAGGCAAGTTTAGTATAAATGCAAAGTTTTTTTTTTTTGCATTGATTATTGCCCAAGAAATCTCTGAGCATATTCAGAATTTTTGGGAACTGTAGGAATCTATTGATCTAATAAGTGAAGACAACAGATTGCAATGGACACCATTACAATGTTGCCTTGAAGATTGAGGTCAGAGCTTTTAAAAAATAATTTATAATAGCAATATTCTATAGCTCACTAGACCACTGTTTTTTAATGAACAGTTGGCACAACTCTTATAGTTTGTTATACTGCACATTAAGCTGTAACAAAATAATATACAGGGTAAAATTGCTATTTCACTGTTTAATAGACTTAGCCAGTATTTAAGGACAACATGTTTCTTACATGACATCGGGACTTTGAGGGAGGTTCTAACTACGTTAAATTAACTAATTCATAAAAATATGTCAAAAAGGAACATTTTTTGTTATTGGGGATAACCCTTCTCCCTCTCTGCTCGCAGGGGACAGGACTTCCTCACCATCAGGGCCCCAACGGATGTCCCGGGCTTTCAGTACTCCCTAGGGCTCCCTCCTGCACATGTACAGAACTGGCTAGCCCACCAGTTCTTCCAGCAAGCAACAGGACCCCCACCACCACCGCAAGGTAGAGACCTGGGTCGAGACCGACCCTAACGCCACCGAGCAGGGCATCCAGGCCCGAACGGACCAGAGGAATAGTATTAGCACCACGACCTCGGAACGGAGGAGATATGCCACCGACACACCACGCAACACACCGCACATCAGTGAGTACTTTCACTACATTTGGGGACAATGGCTATACATACACTCCGCTACAATGAGGAGGGGCTCCTTTTAATTGGGGAGGGGGGTCTGGGATCCGACCAGCACCTGGGGACTAGCAAAAGGAAAAACAAGGGAGAAAAACAAGGGAAGGGACAGAGGAGAAAAAATGGGGGAAGAAAACCATACAGATCAATTTGCCCAGCAAAGAGTTGGATCCCACAAGAAACAACGGAGGAGGGGGGGGGGGGGAAACAGAGGAGACTAGAAAGTTGCAACGACCAAACAAATAGGGAAAGAAGCACTAAGAGGGGTGGGCAAGGAGTGGGTACAAGACAGAGTGCAGATAGAAGAAAGGATAGAGCGGGAGACAGGCCACCTACGGACCTACCTACGTATTAACGCCTGATGCATAAGATACACTGTAATGCTGTCTAATATAAATGCACCCTCCACTCACTAGGCAGCGATCACCGGCTTAGGGCCATGGCCTCACTGGCCCTCCACCTCAATAGTACACAACAAGGCTGACCCCCACTCGACCGCCAGCAATTAACATACACTGCTTAGCCAACCCCACCACAACTCACTTGATGCACATGTATACACTTACACCATATGACCCAGGGTCTACTCCCAGAGATGGAATTGGACGTTCACTGTGAGACAAAGCGCTCACCACGACAGGTACACACCAACGTTGCAAACCTTGCTACAATATAGGATACACACTACAAGGTACAGCCACATCCAGCACATATATGCCTACATGAGCCACAGCCATTACCACTGACCAGACCACTAACCTTCGTCACATAAGACCGGGCGGACGGACAACCCAGGTACCACCCCGGACTGATTGAGGTAATACTCCTGCTAGCTGGGTGCGGACACTGGGTGCACCCTCCTACGTGAGGGCACTACCCTCCAGGAGTGATCCCATGTTCCCAGACCGACTGGACCTGCAGAACCCACTGCCTGGACACTTGTCCATTGACCTAGTACTGCCCAAGGTCACGCTGAGACCGGCCTAACACATCTCCCCCCCCATTTTTTTCTTTTTTTTTATCCTTCTTTCTTCTCCTGTCTTCCTCTCCCTTGCCACCTTGGCGAGGTTCGCGGAAGGCACCCTGATCCTCTTTTCTCTCCTTCTTTCCTTCTTTCCTCACCCTCCTCCACATCTCCCACGCCCCAAAGTGCCCCCGCTGGCTGCTCCGGGGATGCCGGCCCCGGGGGGTGCCCGCTACGCTCGAGAGGATCTGAACCTTCTCTCCTATAATGTCCACGGATTTAACATCCGTGAGACACGATCTGGACTACAAGACCTGAAACGATACCACGCATCAGTGGCATTCATCCAAGAAACAAACTTTCTAGCACACCGAGCGCCATCCCTGAGGGACCGGAACTTCCCGTTGGGATTCTTTAGCAACAACCCGCAATGTCGCACCCTTGGAGTGGGCATTCTGTTCTCCAGATGGATCCACTTCACGGAACAGGACATGCTCCGATGCCCACAGGGCAGGTACATCTTCACGAAAGGTACCATCCACGACCAGACATATACATTTGCGAACATATATGCTCCGAATTTCAGACAATACCATATTCTTCCCACAACCCTTGCCACCTTGGCGAGGTTCGGGAAGGCACCCTGATCGTGGGTGGGGACCTCAACCTCCCTCTGCACCACAAAAATACCTTCACAGATCACACCCCGACGCTCCCCAACAGACACGTGAGGACACTTCAGTTACTACACCACCACCAGCTCACGGACTGCTGGAGAGCACTGAACCCAAAGGCGAGGGACTACGTGTTTTTACTCCACGACCCATGCCTCCTACATCCTCCTGCCCTACCGCCACCTGACCCTCCTCGTAGATACAGAAATCCTGCCAATGACCTGGTCGGACCACAATCCCATCCGCATATGGCTTAAATCGCCCCTATTCAGGTCCCGCCAGTTATCCTGGTGCCTCAACGAGTCCATCCTTTCTGACCCCGTCCTGGTGGCGGCGATCAGGCAAACCATCCAGGATTACTTCACCACCAATGAGACTGAACACACGTGCTGGGAGGCGCATAAAGCAGTGCTTCCAGGGCACTTTATCGCACTCTGCTCGGAACGGAAGAAGGCACACGCGAAGGCGGTAACGGACCTTAGCAAGGACATAGCAATACTATAAAGCCAACATAAACAGACTCTGGATGCATCAACATACAGATACCTCCTTCTTAAACTCTCCCAACTGGCTGCTCACCTGAACCACGCTATCCAATGCTCCTTTCAACACTTCCAGCACCTGATATATGAGCATGGGAACAAATGCGGCAGACTCCTAGCAAATCTGCTAAAACAACGCAGAACCTATATTTACATCTCCAAGATCAATGACGCGACATAGCAAATTCACCATCTCCCAGATTAGATCTTTTGCCACGTTCCTTAATACTACAAGGACCTTTACAATATTCGCCAAGGAACGCAGGACACTGAAACACCTCGCAGGAGCGAAGCCATCCAGGTCTATCTGACTACATCCGGGCTGCGCCAATTAGGAGACTCGGACCGTGAGACCCTCGACGCCCCATCACCCCGGAATAATTGTCACTCGCTATCAAGAAGGCGAAGACGGGCAAGTTACCTGGACCAGACGGTCTGCCACTACTATATTATAAGACCTTTCTGCCGGACCTCCTCCCGAAGCTGCACACAGCCCTGAACTCAATTCTGGAAGCGGCGTCAGTTTCATCACCATCAGTTCAATTTACAGCGGCAAACATTAAATTTCTCCCGAAAGAAGGCAAGGACCCGACGTCCTGCCAAAGCTACCGCCCAATCTCGGTCCTTGATGTAGATTTCAAACTAATGGCCAGTGTACTGGCCAACCACTTAGCACCACTACTCCCAGACCTGATCCACCACGACCAGACGGGGTTCATCCCAGACAGAGAGGTCCGAGACAACACCATACGAACAATGAACCTGATCTCCGTGGCCACACAATCCAAACACACATCCCTGCTCCTCTCCACAGATGACGAGAAGGCTTTTGATTGAGTGAACTTGGGATTCCTGTTTGAGACCCTTCAGTGCTTTATTACTTACACGGACCTGTCACAATACCCCACTCAAGGGCCAATCCGCCTGCTGCAAGCCGCATATGGGGGACAGACACCCCATGCAGTTCATTGTTTGCTCGTTAATGCATATGGTTGGCGTTGCTGCTCCTGTTCACAATGCAACCTACAAACACCCACACAAAGACCACAACCGCTGATCAGATGTCTCATTAATTAAGCATGGTCAGACCACAAACATACCCACACTGCAAGCCCCAAACACATTATGATCACTGGTCTGCTCCGGAACCAGACCACGGCTTGGGGCGCTGAAATACATAGATAAACCAGACTGGCAATGCCAAAAACACATTCTACCAGACCTTGGCAGTATATGTTTAAGTTTGCAAAATGCACACCTGTTTTATTATTATGAATATTCTTGTTACAACCAACTGCTTTAACACTTCAACCTCTGCATAGGCGCCATGTGCTCTTAACAATGACACGTTTAACTCCTGTGTTCATGTACCGATGACAACAAAAATCATTTAAAACAACACATACGTAACATTTGACACCAAGCCAAAACAGACAATATTAAAGACATGATAGGAAGTCAAGGTAGCAAACATATAACACTGTATTTGTTTTTCCATTTGATATGCATTATTTCAGCACCATCCCCTGCATGGGAAAACTGTTCATTGTTATGACTTCGATCAAAAGGTTTGCTTATTTACATGATCTCAGCTTGGGAAACGGGAATATATATACTTGTCTAGACATACTGAAACATGCTTTACCTGCCCCCGACAATATGTCTTTAAGTTTGCAAACTGCTTGATTAATATAACTGTACCTGTTATGTTCATATGTTTTGACATATATGCCTCTGCGTAGGCGACCATATGCCTTTTACAGTAACTTGTTTGTTGTCTGCATTTACACTGAGACAATAAAAATTATTTAAAACAAAAGTCGCCTAACTGATGCTGGACGTCCTCACGCTGTGCATGAGGACATCAGGCGTCTGCTAAATCCCCATAGGAAAGAATTGATACAATGCTTTCCTATGGGGAAGCCTAATGCAAGCGCAGAGGATTCAGGTAAATGACCAAAGAGGTTTTAACCCCTTCAGTGCCGAGGGGGGCTCTATAGGGACCGTTAGTGGCAGGAAAACAGCTTTGTTTCCCTGGCACTATAGTTTCCCTTTAAAAGTAGTAGGAAAAGGTGTAGTTTAAAAGGAAGAGGTGAGGCCTTGAAAGGAAGGGGTGGGACAAATTTAGATTAGGGGGGTGCTTAGGTTTAGCCATGCCCAGGGCAGCGCAAAACTAAAATACACCACTGATGAACGGCCTTGCAATTCCAATGCACTCTAAGAGTTGGCTTTTAGATGTAATTGTTTTAACTTTAATATTTCATAGGTAATACAGAGAATAAAGTAATTTACAGATAATATATTATTTGAAAAGATTTCATTCATCTTTCTTGGTCCACTGTTCACTGATCTCTCAAGTCTCAGTCTTGTGTTCAAACTGTTTTTCTTACGTTACGTTGTGAGTTTACAGTATAAGCCACAATTGCTTTGTGGAAACAAAGCCTGGCATTGTAATACATGTATGGACATGCTTATAACAAAGCTTAGTCCCTCTCCTCACATAGTTGGTCATTGACACGCACTTTAATGCAATGTGTCTACCAACGCTATTCTGTTAAAGTGGTCACTAGATCACAGAAACATACCCTATCTCTCATGATGCAGAGTTTATGCTTGCAAGGATAACCAGATCTAATCCACCTGGTTACCCACAAAAACACTCCTATCATTTAGAGGGGTTAATTATATAATAACCATTGAAGATATTAAGTTGGTTGTTGTTCTTGTAAAAGAAACATAGAAACATAGAAACATAGAAAGTGACGGCAGATAAGAACCATTCGGCCCATCTAGTCTGCCCAATTTTCTAAAAACTTTCATTAGTCCCTAGCCTTATCTTATAGTTAGGATAGCCTTATGCCTATCCCATGCATGCTTAAACTCCTTTACTGTATTAACCTCTACCACTTCAGCTGGAAGGCTATTCCATGCATCCACTACCCTCTCAGTAAAGTAATACTTCCTGATATTGTTTTTAAACCTTTGTCCCTCTAATTTAAGACTATGTCCTCTTGTTGTGGTAGTTTTTCTTCTTTTAAATATAGTCTCCTCCTTTACTGTGTTGATTCCCTTTATGTATTTAAATGTTTCTATCATATCCCCTGTCTCGTCTTTCCTCCAAGCTATACATGTTAAGATCCTTTAACCTTTCCTGGTAAGTTTTATCCCGCAATCCATGAACCAGTTTAGTAGCCCTTCTCTGAACCCTCTCTAAGGTATCAATATCCTTCTGAAGATACGGTCTCCAGTGCTGTGTGCAATACTCCAAGTGAGGTCTCACCAGTGTTCTGTACAATGGCATGAGCACTTCCCTCTTTCTACTGCGAATACCTCTCCCTATACAACCAAGCATTCTGCTAGCATTTCCTGCTGCTCTATTACATTGTCTGCCTACCTTTAAGTCATCAGAAATAATCACCCCTAAATCCCTTTCCTCATATGTTGAGGTTAGAACTCTATCAAATATTGCCTGTCACTCAGCCACTGCCTTACCCATTCAACAATATTGGAATCCACTTAAAGATTGCCCTTCTATGTGCAACAAAAGCCTTACACTCACACGTCTATAATTTTAGTTACCCAATCAAAAAAATCAATAAGTTAGTTTGGCATGATCTCCCTGAAGTAAACCCATGTTGTCTCTGATCTTGAAATCCATGTGTTTTTAGATGTTCATCAATCCTATCCTTTAACATGGTTTCCATCACTTTCCCCACTACTGAAGTAAGGCTTACTGGCCTATAGTTGCCCGACTCCTCCCTATTACCTTTCTTGTAAATGGGCACAACATTCGCTAACTTCCAATCTTCTGGGACTACTCCTGTTAACAATGATTGGTTAAATAAATCTGTTAATGGTTTTGCTAGTACACCACTAAGCTCTTTTAATAGCTTTGGGTGTATTCCATCAGGTCCCATTGACTTATTTGTCTTTACTTTTGACAGTTGAAATAGAACCTCTTCCTCTGTAAACTCACGTTGCCCTAAAAGCCTATTCATGGCTAGGACAAGTTCATATAGATAGAGGTAATGTACTTCTAACTCCTGGAAAGGAATATTGGTGGCCCAATATATGGAATACTGTATTTCATGTTATTAGTAATTGTAAGCATTTGCTTATTGGTAATTAGGCGACATTACTATTTGTACTGTTTATTGAAATATCTATACCTAACGTACCTTTTGAATTACTATGTATTGGACATTTGACAACATCTCATGGTTATAAATATGTTTTTATATGTGTTGATGCATGTACAAGGTTTACTTGGTTATATCCTGTGTGAAGCGCAACCTCTAATACCACAATTTTAGATCTCAGTTCCTTAGTATGCATTGGTCCCAGGACCATCCACACGGATGGTGGTCCTGCATTTACTGCAAAGGAAACCCACAACTGGGCAACCACATTTGGGTTACTTTGTCCAAAGTAGTGGGGTTGTGGAACGGAAAAATGCTGAGGTAAAATGACTATAAATTAAGTTACTAGCTGCTTGCCCCTGCACAGTGGTATCCACTTATACCTATGGTACAGATGAGTGTTAACAACATACCTGATAATACAAATGGTGAGACACTGTCATGATCACCAGGGGAACCTAAGCATGCAGACGGGACACAACACATAGAATTGGAAATACCGGTCCTTAGAATGGCCGGGCTATGCAAAAAGGGGTAGTCAAAGTACAAGCCAAGATCAAACGGAAACAGAGAGACAGAGTAAACATAAGACAAGCCAAAGATCGGTAACCAAATAAGCAGACAGAGAATAACGCGATATTGGGAAAAACACCCACCACAACAGGGCACTGAGGCAAGAGGGAGGTTAGCTTATATACACACAGGGTGTGTCTTATTGGCTAACCTCTAATTAGTGTTAACCACAACACGTGGGAGTTGTTTCTTCCTTCCCTTGTGGTCTCTGAGGTCATCAATGTGTGCCGGATCACATAACCGGGTCCAGCACACATATAAGGATGCTGCTCTGTAGTGTGCAGCATCAGTTTGGAGTATGGTGGCGGGGACAGCCGCATGCTGCGGGCAGGGACCCGATGACACTGCTTGTGGTGACGGGGAAAGCAAGGTCGCCGTGAGGCAGAGTCAGGGGACAGACACCATATGGAATGTAACACATTTTTCGCTGACAATCATATTTCTGCACAAGGGAGAAATTAGAACCATTGGTTCTATTACAGAAATTTAGCCCACCACACCATGCACCACTACCTACTTCCTACTGTTGGCCAGTTTGTCCTGGAGAGGGTGACTCCAAGAACTTTTATTACAGAGAACAATCAGAGCCAACAGAGAAAAGTTTTGATATTTTAAAATCTGCTAAATACTATCAGGATGTTCACAGAACCACTGGCAGATACAATGGATGCTGTTAAAGAAGCCATGAAAAAACAAACAGAAGATGACCGAAATGCCACCAGAATCACAGCCACATAACAGACTGAATCATGATCTGACATCTGAAACTGCAAATGCAAAGGAGAAG